TAAGTGTGCAGTTCAGTTGCATTAAGTATATTCACAATGTACAACCACCATCCATCTAGAACTTGCTCAGCTTCCCAAAGTGAAACTCGGTCCTCATTAAACACGAACTCCCCATCCCCGCCCCCAGCCCCACCATTCTACTTCCTGTCTCTGCATTTGCCCACTCTAGGGACCTCACATAAGTGGGATGATGCTGTGTTTGGCCTTCTGTGTCTGGCTTATTTCAGTGAGCATAAGTTTTTCAAGGTTCATGCATATTGTGTTCATGTCAATTCCATTCCTTTATAAGGCTGAATAATGTTTCATTATTTTATAGATACACATATAATATGCATAAGTGAAATAATGGAATATTATTTTTCCGTTATTTCATAAAACAGTGGGATATTTTATACATACACATGTGTATCACATTTTGTTTACTCATTTATCTTGATGGGTGACAATTCAGAAATACAGAAATACAGTTTTGTTCTTATTCATTGAGCCGACCTTTCCCCCCGGTGGAGTGAGTGAGCGCACCATGAAGCAGAATTGTGTTGCTTCCTGTACCTCGCGGTGCTTCTGTGTCTAACACAAAGTGGGCGCTTCATCAGCAAGTGTAGGATGATCAGTGGAATGCATAAGAGGGTCTCATGGGAGCCCACGGAGGGGGCAAGCCCAGCTCAGCCTGGGTGCAGGACAGCCCGGGACGGCCTCCTGGAAAAGGAAGCAGACTTGAAATCAGAGCCTCTTGGACCAGTGAGCGTGCCAAGCCCTGGAGGATTAAAAATGTGTGTCTGAGTTGAAGTCAGAAATGTATGGGCCCCAGAAGAGAGCTTGTGGGTCAGCTCGCTTTCCAGAGCTCCAGAGCCTTTGGGATACAACATGATGCATGTGGCTCTAGTGTGGCCAGTGGCCAGCCCAGAGGTCAGGGGCTTTGGCTCCGACGCTGGAGCTGCATCTCCCAGTGTGCTCAAGACCATCTCTGTACAGAACGATGGGATGGGCTGGTGCAGGACCAACTGGAAAAAGGAGGTCCTCTCCAGCCCTTTCCATGGTTCCTTTGTGTCTTCAGAGCTTTTTTCAGCAGGTGTTGTTTACATAAGTTCAGAGCTTAAAGAACTGCTCTGTTCCAGGCGGTACAGAAAACACAGGCCCGTCTGGGAGGGGCCCCGACACTGGGCCCGGCCGACCTGTCTGAGCGGCTGAATGGGCTGAGTGTTCAGAAATAGCTGGGGAGGGTGGAATGTTGTCCTGAAGCCTGAAGTGGCATTTCCCCCCCCCCCCCCCCCCCGATATATAATTAATTACAAAATTATACATACTCATTGTAACAAAAAAAGGCAAAGCAAGTGTTCGAAGAAAAATGAAAGCTCTTTTCACTCCAACTGCCCAGGCAAGTAACCACTGTTTACAGTTGGTGTGTTTATCCTTGACCTCTGGTGTATACACAGATATGGCCCTTTGTAGGCAGGCTTTTTAAAAAGCAGAAATGGGATCATACTAACATTTCTTGTACTGCAACTTGCCTTTTCAAACATATATGGAGCATTTTTCCATATTAATATATGCAGATCTATCACACTTTCAATGTGTGAAAAATAATATTAGGTTTAAAAAAAAAGTACAAGTGTGTGAAGAAAACAAAAATAGCCCATAATCCTATGGCCCATATATTTCCAGGTGACTTAAAACAAACAAACAAAAAACCCCCAGAAAATTCAAGCTGTATTAAAAGGTGTAAAGGCTTCCCCAGTCTCTGAAAGGAGGTCACTGTGAGCAGTTTCTTGTGCTTCCAGCCAGAGAAAAAAAAGGTGCACATTATCCGCACACATATTTATGTTCCTCTTAAAGCATGTTGCCCTTTTCACTTGATAAAGTGTCTTGGCATGCCCTGCCAAGCCCATCTAGAAGCATTACGTCATCTGTTTTAGCAACTGCAAAGGATAGTTTGTGAATATCCTTGAATTAACCCATTTCCGATTGGACTTTCGGGCCATTTCTAATTTTTGGATATCACACAACTTTGGTAAAATTCTGCCAAATTACTCTTCAAAAACATATAATTTGTATATAATAGTGTGTGAGAGTGTGTTTCTGCAGTGTGGACACTTCTAGATGAGTACTGTTTTTGTAAAAATTCTGCTCAATTCGTCTTCCAAAAACTGTCGATTTCTATACAATAGTATATGAGAGTGGGTGTTTCTGAACTGAACCTTTCTAAATGAAGAGCCTTTTGTGGGTCATTTTGGGCGTTCATGTTTCCCAAGTCAGTAGCAGTTACAGTTTCGTGCTGGCTTTAGTCAGTGTCGGATGGTAGGTTTTCATCAGTCTGGACAAGGATGTCATAGAAACGGCATTCACCGTGGTCTCCAGTACAGAAGTGGCCGTGGAGAGGCACAGTAGCCAGACCGCATTTGATTTTCAGAATCAACTAAGATGATGGTACTCAGCACAGATGTTCTTCCAGCCTTCACACACACGAGCCTTGCAGTGAAAATGTAGAGACCTCCTCTGTCATGCTGTCCACACGCAGTCCCTCTGGAGATATCTGGGATTGACGTTTCACAGCCCTTGGTTTTGTTGCTGTTAACGTTTCTTCCTGTGGAGAATTTCTTTGCGGGCCAGTCCTGTTGTATCTCCTGATGGTGTCTCGTACATCTGCTCAGTCCCCTTACTCAAACTCTTGGCCTCCGGGCGCCGACTTTCTCGGTCTCCTTATTCTAGGAGATGATACCTGGTGACTAGAAATCAGCCTGGATGCTGTTTCATCAGGCCAGGTGGGGAAGGATTTGTGCTCAGGGAGCAAGTGCCCAGAGGAGTACAGTTTGGAATCATACTGCTCTAGCCCTAGAGGGGTGTTTGGTAGCTTGAACCTGGAGAGAAATCACCCGCCTCCCGCACCGCTGCTCCTTTCTTGATGGGGGAAGCCCCTTCCATTGGAGGTCAGCTGCCATCCAATCCAGCTTCTACCACTTGCAAACTAGGTGATTGAAATTATTTTTAATCTTTTGGAGTCTTCTCTTTGCAAAATGTGGTAGTAGCACCCTCCTAGAATTGCGGGGAGGATTCAGTGGGTCCCACGCTGAAGTGTTTGTACGGTACCTGGATAAACACTAAGCTATAAATGGTTCCTGAATTCCGCACTGGCTGAGGGCCTGGGGGTTTGGAGTAGGCAAGCTTTTATACACTTGGGGCTTTTTTGTTTACTAGATGTTCGCGTTTCTAATTGTGTGCTAAGCCGGGCTAAATGCTGAAGAGTTAGACCCAAGTCAAGTAGCCCCTGCCCTTCCCTCCAGCTCAGACACCTTATTGACCCAGGGCCTCCCCATCTCCAAGGTAAATACCACCTAACCAGGGCATTTGATCTTTGGCCTCTGCCCTACACAAGTCTGTTTTGTTATTGCAGAGTTTTAGGTAAATGTCTTGGGAGGCATAAAGATAGGTATGGTAAGGCAGCTCGTGGGTGCCAGGGAGGCTCTGCGGCTTGGCAGGCTCTGGCCTGGATGTGGCATCAGGCAGACCGGAGTGGACTGTTCATTTCCTCCTCGTACACCTACCCGCTGTAGGACCTTGAACAAATCTTGTTTACCCCTTTGAGCCTGTTTCCTTATCTGCCAGATGGGGTTGGAATCTGTGTTGCTAGGATGACTGACACAGTTCCCCATGAAGGCTTTAGCACAGTGCAGGCCACCTAGTCAACTCAAAAACAGTATAAGGTATTGATTCTATGTTGCTCAGTTTACGGAGACCTTAAAACAGTGCAACAGTAGCAATACAGGATTGTTACAAAAAACCCAAATACTCCAGAAGAACACAAAGTAGGAAGTGAAAATCTTTCCTTTCTGCCCCCATGCCTTTTTCAGATCAAGAATAAGTACTGTCTTGAAAACAGTTTTGTTTTTTACTAATGGGAATGTTTTAACTATGCTTGAGTTCTAAACCTGCAGTGACACCCACAAAACAGGATATGAATGTTTATAGGCATACCTTAATGTAAATAAAGATAAGTAAAAGAAATGTTATACGTGGGTCCCCAGCATAATCACTCTGGTCTTTTCCTGTCTTGTTGTGTGTATGTGTGTGGGGGGGGGGGGGGGGGGGAAGGGGCAGTGTAATTGGTCCACCTTGGATAAATCATAACATCATCACATTGGTAATGCTTAGCAGTGACAAAAGAATAGATTTAACTTGCAAGTGCTGCTCTCCAAAATCTTAAAGCTACGATTTGCTGTGGGGGTGGGGGGCAAGGTGGGCTGTGTGTTCCGTGATGTGAACTTTTAGGGTGAAGAGGCAACCCAATCTATGGTAGTTTAGGAATTGGGAAGAGATGATGGAATAGGGAGGGGTGCCGGAGTCCTAGTAAGAGACCTTACCAGCATAAGTAGTAAGATCTTTGTAATATTCGCTTAGTGTAAATAATAAGTGAATAGTTAGTGTGTTGGCCATGAGAGCATGTGTTCCTCTAATCCCCCTTGCTGAAATGATAGGTTGGCATACCTGTGAAGGTCCCTGGGGAAGTTGGCCCTTATTTGGGGGTTCTTTTTGTTACTTCAGAACTGGTCTTGCCTGACTGGTGGCCCAGTGACTTGTAACCGCCCTGGGTTTCCTGGGGCATCTGAGGCTTGGAGAATAAAGAGCATGTGAGTTTTGGGGGTAGCATCCTTTGGGCTTTGGTGGAGACCATTTAAACCAGTGCAGCCCTGTTTAGCCCATCCCACCTTCAGAATATTTGGATTTGTTTATTTTCATCAAAGAAAAGGTGGATTTGTGTGTGGCTGAGTTGTTGAGAAACTGTCTCTGTATAAGCAGATGGCCTAGTACTTACTGCACAGGCTCAGCCTTGAGATGATAGGCTAGAGTGAGAAAGAGCACAGAGCGACCTTGGCCTGTTACTTCCCCTCTGAGAGTGGGGGGTGATAGTAAGGAGAGCCACCTCAGCAGTTGTTAGCAGGCTCCTCTACGCAGCTGAAATTATCACTCAGTCAGCCTGATGGTGTGTTTCCTCATGCGGAATAAAGGGAGGCATTACGGCCAGGTTGGAATGGTTTGTTGCTAAGGGGTCTCCTTTGGGACTTCGAGGAAGCCGCTGTCGCCTTTTCTGCCTCCTCAAGGCTGAACAGTAGAGGTTGGAGCAGGGCTGGAAGTGGAAGATGGGTATTTGCTTTGTTGTTAAACGGGCTGAGTTCTGTGTCCCTCTGGGCATTTGTTGCTGAGGGGGGGGGCATCTGATTCCCTGGTACCTGACCTAATGAAAGATCTGGGGGCTGCATGAGCACGGCTGGTTTCCCAGGGAGAGGTGACAGTTCCCCTTCCTCTTCTTTCTTCCTGCCTTTCAGTTCTTTACGCACAGACTACAAATGTGCTTCTTAGAAATAGCAGGTGGTACAGAAATACTGGCCCAAGCGTGTAAAGATACATGTACTGGGGTGTCGGTGGTAGTATTATTTGTCCTAGTACATGGTTGGCAGTCACTTCCATGTCCGTTGGTAGGGCAGTGGGTTAATGTGACATAACTACTGAGTGAAATACTATGTAGCATTAAAAAAAATGAGGTAGGTCAGTATGCATGTTTGGAAAGACAACTAGTATATTATAAACAGAAGAAAGCATTGCATTTTGTAATGCAGCTACAGTACAGTATAGTTATGTAACAGTATAGTATAACACAGTTGCAGCATGATAGTAACTTCCCACATTTGTAGAATGAAGATTGAATTTCACAAACTGCTGATAGGTTAGACAGAGTGAGAGAAAGGGAGTGGAGGATAACCACCAAGTTAACAGCAGTTATTTTTTGAGTTGGATTGACTTGTTTTGTATACTTTAGTATCATTTGAATTGGTTACAATAAATTGTGTGTTAGTGACAGTGTTAGTTACAAAGGTAACTAATCACAAAAGTAACCCATGCATATTTTAAAACCAATGCCTGTGGGGAGTGGTCTGGGCCAGGATGGTGCTGCTTGTGCAGTGTTGGCTCTGTCCTGGCGAGAGCGCCCCTAGGCTCCTTCATTTCCTCAGACTCATCCTGAGTGTTCCGGCACCTGGTGCTGGCACCCTGATGGTTCACATGAATCAAGCCATGTCATCAGTCACCTGTCTGTCTCTGTCTCTCAGTGGCCCTCAGAAACTGCCTTGTTGATTTGGTTAGACGGAACAATCCATTACAAACACCGTCTCCATTTCTGTGCCCCACTAAAGCAGATTTTGCCATGCAGACGTGGATTTTAGTGGCATTTGCAAAGCACTTCTCGCTGTCACCGTTATTTGGAGGTGGAAAAGGAAGGAGAAACTGAAATACAACTATGTATCTTATGTATTTCTTTTATTTGTCAGGTCCTTGGTAAATTTTGACCCTGGAGAGGGAGGCCTACATGTAGCATGTCTGTCCAGCTGTCCATCCCAGCTGTATATTGAAATTGTCTTATTTTTTTTAGCTTGCTAAATTAACTGCGTATTCCAAATGTGAGGTAGGCCAGTAACTCTTTGTAGACTGCAAATGGATTTGCAGCCAGAGTTCTCTGCAGGCCTCAGCCCAGCCTTTGTGCCTGTGAGCTAGGGGGGGGACTGACCCCATGGCCCATGGAGAAAGGAACCAGAGCAGAGTTTTCAGTAGGTCAGGAGTGATGACAAGGGCTCCTGGGACCATCCAGCAAGTGCTGTGCTTGGGGAGACTCAAGACAGACCCCTGTGGGTGAGGCACTTGGAGCTGGCATGCGCTTGGGGCCATGGAGTCCTGTGTCATAGTGGAGTTCCTCACCTGATGCATTGCCCACTCACACCCCACCTGTCCCAGGCCGGACTTGCCCCAGGAGCACTGGCAGAGCCTGGTATGCTGTGGTCATTTATTTTATTCTGGGCCTCAGGTCCCTTTGGTGGCCACATGATCATTCTCTGGGGTCCACAGCATGGACCTCATCATCACAGGAGCAGTCATCGTTTCTCTAGTGCCTGCTGAGGGCCCACACTCCCGGAGCACACCTGGAAGTCCCACTGACCTGGGTTCAAGATCTGGCTTTGTAACACCCTAACTTGATGATAGTGACCTTGGGCCGACATTTAACCTCCCTGAGCCTTGGTATCTTGTCTGTAAAACAAGAGTACAAATATCTTTCTTTCGGTGGTTTATTTTATTTCTTTTTTCAAAGAACTATTTTTAATTCAGTTTTATTCAGATGTTTTCATTAAATTCATTACATCTGCCTTTTTCTTCATTAATTGTTTCTGCTTTTCACATTCACTTGTGTCTTTGTACTGACTTCTTAAATTCGATGCTGAATTTCATTCTTTTTCTGTAAGGAATTTAAAGTTTGTGGATTATTAAATTTCATCTGAGTACAAATTTATCTTTGTTTTAAAAGTTTTGATGTATAGTGTTCTTTTCTTCATTTGGGCTATTTTCTAGATAGTCTGCAACTGTGAATTGGAATTCCCCTTTAAGTTTTCTAACAGACAAGGTTATTTTTACTCTGCTTTCATCATGTCTTTTTTTAATTGCAGTCTGGTCAGAGATTTTTGCTTTTCAGAATTTGGGATTATCCTGAAGTCTCATATATAGTTACTTTTGGACCATGATCTAATGATTTAATCAGGTCATCTATCCATTTTGAGTGGGCTTTATCTACTAAGGTGTAAAGATTTTTTTTCTAATGTTTTCTACTTACAATGTTTTTTTTATTTTATTTTAAAATTACTCTGCATATATAAGTTCATGCTAGTTATATTTTCATTATGGACTGTCGCCTTGACCCTTGAAAAATGAATGTATCTTTTGTGCATGTTTTTCTGTTCAGCATTATATTTGTGAGTTTCGTCCGTGTAGTTTTGTGTGAATTTATTTGTTGTCATTGTGAATAGTATTTTGTAATGGGGATATAACCTTTATTCGTTCTAGTGGTGGTCGACTTAGCTCGCTTCCATTTTGAGCTGGCCACATAGTGCTGCCATTAATGTTCTTACACATGTCCTTCGGAGCATGTATGTACGTGATGTCTGGGGTGTATGCCTAGGAACGGAATTACTGGGTCACAGGGTGGCATGTGCTCAGCTGCCGGGTTTCCAGTGATTGTTCCACTTGGCACGCCCTCTAGTAGTGCACGAAATTTGTCCCCGCTCCGTATACTTACTAGCACTTGGTGGTTTAAAGGTGTCAGTTTTCCCCAAAATGATCTCTAGATTCCATGTAATTCCCATCAAAATCCCAGCAGGGTTTTCTTTTGTTGTTGTTTTGTTTGGAAGTTGACAAACCAATTCTGAAGTTTCTATAGAGTGCAAAGGTCCAAGACTAATCAAAGTGTTATTGAAGAAGAGCAAAGCTGAGGGACTCGTCCCACTGGATGTCAAGACTTGATAACAGTGACAGTAATGGATGCAGCAGTGTCGGCAAAAGACCAGACAAACAGGCTGAGAGAATAAAATGGAGACCTTGAAACAGACTGCACATACGTAGTCACTTAATTTATGACAAAGGTGCCACATGGCAAAGGGAAAAGATGGCCTTTTCCAAAAAAGATACTGGGAAAATTGGATTCTCCATGTGGAAAAAAAAATTGAGTCCTCTGCCTCAAATCATATTCACAATCAGCTTTAGATAGATTATAGAGCTAAACAATAAAGCTTCTAGAAGAAAACATAGGAGAATCTCTTTTATGATCTTGGAGAAGACACAATTCCTTGACTGTGACACAGAAAGCATTAACAAAATAGAGAAGATTGATACATTGAACTACATCGCAACTGGTAACTTCTACTTTCTACATATGCTCCAATAAAACGCAACAGATGTAATGCTATTTCCTAATTGCTCAGATATGTTAGATAACCTGTTAGCTCCATTATTCCCTGGAAGCCTCTGGCTCGTTCTCATCAGGACGGGCAGCTCTCTTGCCTGGAGAGCAGCTGCCATCTTGGGCTCCTCTGGTTGTCTTTGTTCCTCTTGCATTGGATCCCTTGTTTCCTGGATCCTGTGTGTGTATCAGTTGGGTGATTTGAGCATCAAATAACAGCAGCAATCTTAAGCTGCCTCAACAATAGCGTGTTAGACATTTATTGGCTCAGTTAAGTGGAAGTCCAGAGGTGTGCAAGTTCCAGACTGGTGGGTCCAGTGTTCCATTTGTCATGAAGGAACCAGCTACCTTCCCTGTCTGGGTGAGTCACGCCCACGCTGAGCCAGTCGCTGGCAAGGGGGATGGTTTCTCTTGGACCAGGCATGCCCCCGTCCCCCCCAAATGGGTGTAGGCCCATCCATGGGCTGCCTGGGAAGGACAAGACCACTTGTTAGGAAGGAGGAAGGGACACTTAGCTGCCAAGTAGGGAGGCAGGAATGGCCGCGGCGACATGGGCCTCTGTCTTGCTTTGCTCGCTTGTTTATTAGAACATCTTCCCCTGCAACTTTCTGAGCAGGTAAATGTTTTGAGTCTTTGTGTGAGTCTGGAAAAGTCTTTTTCTGCCCCCACACTTGACTTGGTCGGCTGAGTATTAGGTTCTAGATGGAAAAACATTTCCCAGAAAGGGAAATGGTGCTGGTGAGAGACGCATGTTACTGCTCAGGAGAGCTCACGGCCATCCTCCTTGTTCCTTCCTGGGACCTCTTTTCGGGGGGGTTGGGGGAGCTCTCAGAGGCTCGACATTCTCCATCCCTAGCATACTCAGATTTCACCTTGTGCCTTGTGTTCTTTTTATAGCCATTCTGAGCACTTGGTGGGCCCTTGCAATCTTGGGTACTTCAACTCTGGCAATTTTTATTTGATAACCCCCCCCCCCATGTGTCTGGAACTCCTAGACAAATTTGGACTCCTGAATTAATCCTTTATTTTTGAGTGGGGGAGAGTCTAGTATCATCTCGTTCTTTTTTCTAAAACTTTCTTTGACTTTATCTTCCAATTGTTCTATTGAAATTAGCAAAAATTTAGAAAAGTTTGGATTTACAGAAAAGTGGGAGTTTTTGTATACCCTGCCCCAGTTTCCCGTTTTAAAGATCTTATGTTAATATGGTGCATTTGTCCCAACAAATTAACCAGTACTGGTACATTGTTGC